CACTCGACATGTTCAGTGGCATCAGTGCTATACATACACATATAGTTCTTATTTTTTTCTTTGTATTTTTGCCCTCTATGGACAATAAAAGCGGTATTGTGCTATGACCAAAACATAAATATAAATCTATATAAATAAAACGTGAATTGGAATATTTCATATCACACACTTTTTATGCTGTGTCTTTGATTTAAAGATGACAATACGCAAAAATCTACAAAAATTGTAGAAATTGTAACATGTGGGGTAACCCATGTGTTACAAACATCGTAGAAATTGCAGCACAAGGGGTACGCAAAAGGTGTCAAGCACACGTGATTCTGATTGGGGGCTCAATCTCATGAAATGGTTGCTTCCAAATTTAGTTTCCTGCTCTTAATTGGGAATACATACGTGATGGTTTTAAATGCTCCTGAAATTAAGTGCTGCTTGACGAGCCTATATTGTGTATGTATGTGACGTCACTGAAGGCCTACGGTTGAAATGCACGGCCCGCCACTGATTGTAGCGTTGCTAATAAAGTTGTGACCTGACTAACAAAAAATGTTTAATAAGATAATGATGAAAACTGAAAAATGAGTCCAATTCACACAACAAAATAAAAGCAAGATCAAATGACTCATGACAAATTCATTCATTCATTTTCCGAACCGCTTGATCCTCACAAGGGTCGCAGGGGGTGCTGGAGCCTATCCCAGCTGTCTTCGGGCAATAGGCGGGGGACACCCTAAATCGGTTGCCAGCCAATCGCAGGGCACACAGAGACGAACAACCATCCACACTCACATTCACACCTATTAGAGTGTCAGTCAGCCGGCCATGCATGTTTTTGGAATGTGGGAGGAAACCGGAGTACCCGGAGAAAACCCACGCAGGCCCGGGGAGAACATGCAAACTCCACACAGGGAGGCCGGAGCTGGAATTGAACCCGGTACCTCTGCACTGTGAGGTCAACACGCGAACCACTGGACTACCGGGCCGCCCCTCATGACAAATGACAATCGTAATATTAAAAACGATATACATGCAACAGTGTGTAAAAAATACATATATGTTGAGAGATTATATTGAACAAATAATTGTTTATTCCAGGTTAAAAGCAGATCTAAAGGTGTGGGTGTTTAGTGCTGTTTTAAAAGGGGGAAGTGTGTGTCTGAGGTGATAAGGGAACAATTCCAGAGGGAGTGGGCGGTGATGGAGTAGGCTTTCTCTCCCCAGGTCTGGTACTTGGTTCGGATAAAAGGGGTAAGGAGGTTGGCATGGGCAGGTCGGGGTGTGGTAGTGAAGGTGGTCAGTGAGGTAGGAGGGGGCAAGGTTGTGAAGGGACTAAAAGGTGATGAGAAGAATTTTAGACTTGATTTGTTGTTGGATGGGGAACCACTGTAGATGTTGGAGAATTCTGGGCAGGAGTGGGTGAGGAGACGGGCATAAGAATTTTGGATGTATTGAAGTTTGTTGGGGGTTATGGTGGGTAAATCGTACAGGATGCTATTGCAGTAGTCGAGTCGTGAGGTGATAAAGGCGTGAATCAGTGCTTCAGCAGCTGAGGGGGGCGGGGGCTGTGTTAGACTGAGATTTAGTAATGCTAATGAACTGGTGCCGGTCAGTGAGGCATGATTTTTAACCAGGAGAGAGCAGTGCCAGGACTCAAGACAGGTGAGGAGGATGGAGTGATTTATGATGTCAAAAGCAGTGCGTAGGTAAAGTAAAATGACAATGTTGAGGGAGTGGGTGTAAGGAGAGGAGGAGGTTGTTGGTGACATTGGTGAAGGGCTGTTTCTGTGCTGTGATGGGATCTGAAGCAGGATTGAAATGGTTTGTAGGGGTTATTATTATAGATGTTAAACTTCTGAAATGAAAAGTACTGTAAAAGAGAAACTTAAAGAAACGTGTCAAAAGCAATGGGATCAAGAGAGGAAAGGAAGATGGTATCACAGAATATTGCTTCAGGATGGGTAAGCATGAATCTGGTGAATGTATCTGTGGGTGTCAGGTTCAGAGCCGAACCGAATAATATTTTGAATCCCAGAAATGCAGGCCCAGACAAAATGCAATTAAAACAGTTACAGAAAAGTGCACCGACAAAGTACAAATAAATTGCTGGTCACAAGGGGCCAGGAAATACAATGCATGAACAAAAAGCGCTTGCAAAAGTCAAAGTAATAAAACACAGAGAATGCACAAAAGAAATGACAAGAGTCCAAAAACGCAAAACCAAAATCAACAGCAAGAAACTAAATGATGAAAATACAAACAAGTGACTATATTAACATTATTGAGAGGTCTGGAAAACAACACTTGAAGCACAACAGCGAGCAAGGTCAAAAATCCAACACGGAGTCGCAATCCTTAAATACAAGGCTAACAATGATCGTTGAACCGATGCGCCGACTGGAGGGTAAAACTACCTTCAGTCTCACTAGGGATGAAAACAAAAAACAGACAGACAGACATGACAATGCGGAATGACAAACGGTTGAGCGTGTCTTATTTTGGCGTGATGGGTATGAGGTTGCGAGAAGGTCTTTGATTATGAGATTGTTGAGTGGAAAAAGTCGTTTTAGTTGTGCCCTGCTGACAACCAGTTTAGGGTGTACCCAGCCTACTGCCTGATGGATAGGCTCCGGCAACACCGCGACCCTTGTGAGGATAAACGGCTCAGATACTTGATGGAGTTATACTTAATTGGAGGTATTTTTCCCTCTATTAGGCTGAGCGAAATTAGCACTCACAGTTCATGTCGGTTGGTGGCGATAATGCATCATAAGTTATTTGCCAACTGCTAGGAGAAAACCAAAAGAAGAAGTAGAAGCGGAAGAAACCCAAGTGTCCCTGAACGCTGCATGACGTCTCAGGTCAGAAGGCGGAGAAGAGACGTGCGCTTGGCCATGCCACTTGCAAACGGAATACCGCCCCCTTAACACACAAAATGACTTCTGCTAGGATCACGCGCGACTTGACCACAGAATCAGTGATGTTTGGGGAAATTTTCTGTTTGAAATTCCTGCCATTGGAGTGCAAATGCTGATTTTCATTGCGGCTGTTCTCCTTTTAGGCTTATATCAACAGATAATTGGACTGTGTCGAGGTCACTATTCTGAAGTGACGTTTACGTCGATTCATTCATTCATCACAACAATGGCAGCTCACGACTTTAATTTCTTACTTGCGACGGATTCGTATAAGGTAAGTGAATCAGTACCTTACTTTGCATTTCTCTGTACTATGTTTTGGGCGCGTACCGATGGTGTTGTACTGTATTTTGAAACGCTTCAAATTGATTCAAATGAAACGTTGTTTTAACGAAATTATGTGTAGGTAATCTGCTGTTTTGAATTGGCTCCCCGTCTAGAATTGCGTACAGAGTAGAAATGAAAATGTATTTTTTTTGAGGGTTTAAGCCACTTTACTCGAAAGTCCTCCCACCGTGTTGTTTGAGTTCGAGGAATATGAATAATTTGATCATTTTATAAACACGGTTATTTGTGTAATATTTGATACGATTATCAGTTGATGCCCTTTAATGGGTGATTTAGAGTTGTCGACAGATGAAAGCAAGTGTGATTTACGTACTCCCTCCCAACCTAGAAACACGCCTGTGTTTTCAACATCTACATAATGAATGTAGTTTAAGTATTAAGTAGTATCATGGGTCTTCGAGGTTGTCTCTTAAATATGAAAGAAATATACATCCCTAAAAGCTATCATGACCTTTCAACCTTTATGTGCTATGCCTCTGATACCATATTTCTCTAATTTATTCAATAATATAGTATGATCTATTGTATCAAAAGCTTTTTTTAGATCGAGAAAAATCCCAACAGTGAGTTCTTTATTGTCTATATTAGTAGCTATTGCTTCCACGAACTCCATTACTGCCATTAAGGTGGTCCGTTTTTCTCTGAAGCCGTATTGATTTTCACTTAATAGCTCGTGTTTACTTATGAAGTTATTAAGTCTACGAGAAAATAGTTTTTCTAATATTTTTGAGAATTGTGGGAGCAGTGATATTGGTCTATAATTTGTAAAGAATTGTCTTTCTCCACTTTTAAAAATTGGGATGACTTTAGCTGTTTTCATTTTTGATGGAAAAACACCGGCTTTAAATGACAGGTTGCATATGTATGAGAGAGGTCGCACTGCATATTCTATAATCTGTTTTACTATTGTCATATCAATATTAAAACAGTCAGTTGACTTTTTACTTGTATATGTTTTTACAGTATTTGATATTTCATGATGATTCACAGGAGTAAGAAACATTGTGGAAGAATTTTTTTCTATATATTTATCTATTTCGAAAGAATTTATTGGATCAGGAATTTGTTTTGCTAAATTTCTACCGTTATTCACAAAATACTCATTAAATTCCTTTGCTATTTCTGCAGTTTCCTCAATAATGGTATTTTTATCTTTCATAAAATACTCAGGATAATCTACTTTTTTAGAACTATTTCTAATTACATGATTTAAAATTTTCCATATTTCTTGAGTGTTGCTTTTATTTTGCTCTAATAATGCATGAAAGTGGTCTCTCTTGCTGGTTCTTATAATATTTACTAATTTGTTTTGATAAGTCTTGTATTTTGTTTCAGCTTCTTTGGTTCTGGATTTTAGAAACGACTTGGACAGATTGTTTTTCTTTTTACATGCATTTTCTATTCCTTTTGTTATCCATGGCCTGCTTTGGTCTTTGTACTTTCTAGAGACCTTAATTACTGGGAAATGCTTGTCATATAAGGAAATTATGGTTTACTGAAAGGCGTCAAACGCAGTATTTGGATCTTTATTTGTGTAGACCTCAGACCAATTTTGCTTGTCTAGGTCGAGCTTGAAAGCTGCACTGGAATGTTGGGTTCTGGGTCTTATTTCTGATATGTGGGTTATTGATTTAGTTTTTTTATCAAAGTAATTGTGAAAGACTGCAAAGACCGGTAGATGGTCACTTAT